CGGGCGGGGGGTGAGGCCGGGGTGGCGCGCAACCTCCCTGCCTTCTGAATCACAGATGACGTTGGTCTGTTCTGAAGTCTGCTCTCCTTCTCCTGCGTGGCCTGATTTCTCGGTGACCCACAAACCTTGGGCCATCTGGCGCAATTCCTGAGTTCTTTTTTTTTTCTGGCTTGATGCCTGCTTTTGCTATGGTCTTTCTTCCTAATGGCCCACAGTCTGGATAGCCCGTGGCCTGCAGCCTTGCTTTCACGCGGCCAGCTGCCTGATTTCGCTGCGCCGTCTGTCTGCTTTCATTCTGGCCTGTGACATGTAAACTGACCCTCCGGTAGAGGATCCAGGTGGAGGAGCAGGTGTTGCTAGCTTGGTCAGCTTGGCGCTGACCAGCCACAGTTGCCAGCATCCCCATTCCCTAATCTCTGAGACCAGGGATAGCCAAGGAAAAAATCTGGCTTTTTCAGAAGGAATGAGGAGTAGAGAACACCCCACCCGCAAATGCTTAGATGTGGAAGAGTTAACAGAAGACAGTCTTTGAACCAAATTTAGCAAATAGCTGTCTGGCCAAGATTTGATTGTCTGGCACCGTGGAAGGAAGACGCTACCTTTCGCTGTCCGTCCACTGTGTGAGCCCCCCCCACCCCCACCCCGCTGCAGCCTTCCCTGGTCAGAGACAGAGGCCCCGCCCTGGCCTCCCTCCTGATGGCACCGGGCACAGGGGACCTGAGGTCCTGCTCCAGCACTGAGAGGCAGTGTGATCGGGGCCGATTCCGCCCTTCTCTGTGCTGTGGCTTCCTCATCGGTGCCAAGTATTCAGATGTTTGCAGTTCTTTCCAGAGAGGGCATGGGTTCAACTGGACAGTGACTCAGGGAGCTGGGAGACGCTGCTCGGAGGAGCCCAGCGTCCTCACCAAGTCCTATTGGATTGTACCTCTTGAAGGGGCTCCTGAAGTCCCCCTGCCCCTCAGCCTGGGGCCCACGCCCCTGGAGCTGAGATGAAATAAGGGTCATCCCACTTGGAAACAAGCTGGCGCAGCCCCCCATCGCTCCAGGTGTGAAAGCTTAGTGACAACTCGGGGGCGACTCCAAGTGGACCGGGCAGCTGCCCAGCCCAGAGAATTCTGTTACCTGACTTTTCTGTTCTCTCCTTGCCCTTTTCACTCTCCACATAGGAGCTGGGTTGGAATTAAAAAAACACACACCTTTATTGAGACATTAAAGGGAAATAAAAGGAAGTAAAAAAGAGCAGAGGCAGAGGAAATGAAAGGATGGATTTAAGCCTTTGTCATAGGAGCGTCTGGCCCTCAGCTCTCCAGGAACCCACAGACTCACTGCCCCCTGCCCTGTTAGCAAACCTGTCACTCACACAGCTCTCTTGCGAGAGCTTGGGGGGATGATAGATTGCTTCTGGCAGGTTTCTCCACCCGCTTTGAAGGGGCTTCCTGCCTTTTTGGGGTGGTGCCTGGCTGCGCTGCACACCAGGCCTGCAGTGGCTCCAGCTGGGCCATGAGGGCCCTCCCTGCCCAGCTCCCAGAGCCTCCCCGGGCATCAGGTGGACCAGGCCCCTCCTTATCCCTGTACACTTGCTCCTGGTTGGCTCTCCTCTGCCCTTTCTTCTCACCCTGGCCGCTTGCAGGAAGTTAAGGCCAATAGTATGCGTCCTCCAGTGTGGGAGTGAGATGCAGTGAAACCCAATGGCTGAAGTCAGACAGGGGTAGGTCCTGCTTTGCCACAAAATAGCTGTTTGATCTCCTGGAGCCTCTTTTTTTTTTTTTTAATATATTTTATTGATTTTTTACAGAGAGGAAGGGAGAGAGATAGAGAGTTAGAAACCACGATGAGAGAGAAACAACGACCAGCTGCCTCCTGCACATCTCCCACTGGGGATGTGGCACATCTCCTACTGGGGATGTGCCCGCAACCCAGGTACATGCCCTTGACCGGAATCGAACCTGGGACCTTTCAGTCCGCAGGCCGACGCTCTATCCGCTGAGCCAAACCGGTTTCGGCTCCTGGAGCCTCTTTTTAATAAAAATGCCAAAGCCAGTAGTATCAGTTGAGGTGGCTAATTGATTAGTTAGGGTAGCTGCTGTAACAAATCATATAATGGTTCAAAAGTAATAGACGTGTCTTTCTTTCTCCTGGAAAGTATCAGTTGGGTTACTGGGATGGCCCTCCTTCATGGAGTCACCCAGGGACCGGGGCTAATGGAGGTTTCGCCATCTTCAATATGTGCCTTCCAAGACCACCCACAGGGTCATTGCCTTTCAGCCAGCGTGAAGGGGAAGGAGCACGGGAGAGCTTACATGGCAGGTTCTTGTGAGCCAGGCCTGGAAACAGCATGTACCCCTTTCACTCGTATGCCATCGGCTAAACCTCAGTCTACGGCCACTTCTAACTGCCAGGGAGGCTAGGAAGTGTCGTCTGGTGTGGAAGCTACTGTTGATCTGTGTGTAGATTGGACATAATCATGGGTCCCACTCACAGGATTTGTGGTGAGAATTAAATAAGGCAGCGATTTTCAACCGGTGTGCCGCAAGAATTTTTAAAGCATGCAATACCTGACTATTTAGTCAGGGGCACGGGCTTACTTTTGTTTTGTTGTTAATCCTCACCTGAGGATATTTTTTCCATTGATTTTTAGAGAGAATGGGAAGGAGGGAGAGAGGAAGAGAGGGAGGGAGGGAGAGAGAGAGACACATACTGATGTGAGAGAGACACATTGATTGGTTGCCTCCCACACATGCCTTGACCGAGAATCAAACGCGAGACTTCAGTGTGAGGGCTGACTTCTTTTCCCTTAGATTGTCAAATAAAAAAATGACCACAGCCAACGCAAAAATAGCCATCTGGTGTGAATGGATCAAAATTTTATCCATTTTTTGTCAGATCGGCAAAATCATACATTTGTTGGTGTGCCACAGCATTTCAGTATTAGTGTATGTGTGCCATGAGATGAAAAAGGTTAAAACTCACTGAAATCGGGTAACGAAAGGGGAGGGCTGAGTGTGCACCTGGCATATAAGAAGTGCTAGGGACACGCTAGCGCTTTCCCTGGCAGTGCTGAGTCACAGGAATTCATCCTGGGCGCCAGCGCCGTCTGTCTTTTACCCACTAGTTGGATGAAGATGGCGAAGGCATGCTGATCAGATTTGCTGATGACAGAGCTTTGAGGGCGAGCAAATCTGCCGGGTGGGAGAACTGAGGTTCAGAAGTTGTCTCCACTTGGACGGTGGAGCTGAAATCCAACAGCTGCGATTTGTCAGGGAGGCATGTGAAGTCCCGCATGTGGGTCAGGGATGTCAGTGACTCGAGGACAGAATTGAGGTGACCTACCCGGGTGGCGGTTCTTTCTCTCTTGTTCCTTTTTTCTTTTTCTTTTTTTCAGTCCTTTTTGCAGGCCCCACTGAGATCAACAGTTCTTTCTTTCACTTAATCATTCAGCCCACAATTATTTATTAGAAAGCTCTTCTGCTCCAGGCACCCTGCCAGGTGCTGGGCATCGGCTACGATCTGGAAGGCACGGCTCTGCCTGCCTGATGCTGCCTGCCTGATGTCCAGCAAACAGGAGCCCCAGAGGCTGGGGGTGGGGGGTGGGGAGCAGGAAGCAGACCCCCAACCTCAAGTGTAAGGAGTAGAGGACAGGTTCCCACTGAGGCCTGAGAACAAGTGTACTAGTCACATGTATATGTGTATGTGCACACGTGTGTGTGTGTGTGTGTGTGTTTGAATGGCATATTCTAAGCAGAGGAAATGGCATTAAAAAAAGCCCAGAGATCACTTCTCGGCCTTTTGGCTAAGATCAAGGGTAGTATCGGCTTAATATCTGATACATCCTCTATCCAAGGAAAGTATATTAAATGGATTTTTGGAGCAGGGAGATGGAATAGGAGCTTGCTCCGTCCACTCCACGCATCGACCCGGTATTGCAGTACCTCCGGGAACGGTGCACCAAAAAAACGCTCAGAGAGGAAAGCACAGGCAAGGACCTCAGAGAAATTCCAGACGGTTCTAAACAGAAGCAAGAGAGACGAGAACAAGAGATGTGGCTGGAAGCAAAATAAGAGCAGTCCCCAGGGCCTGACCGCTTGCCATCCCTTTCCCGGCTGCGGTAGCTTCTTTAATCGTTACCATGGCCCCAGGAGGAAGGCGCTCTCACCACCCCCATCTTCTGGATGCGGAGGCTGAGGCCTGGAGAGAGTCGGTAACTTGTCCAAGATCTCTCCGCGGGGGCGGGCAGAGCTGGGATCGGGATTTGGGTCTGTCTGACTCTGGAGCCAAATTTTCCACTACTTACCCTCATGCCCTTCTCGACTGCCTTGAAGAGTTTGGCGTTTAGCTGCAGAACGATGGGAACCATTTAAGGTTCAATGCAGGGGGTGGTGGCTGGGTCTGATTTACATTTTAGAAAGATGTGGGGTTTAAAACGACATGGGCTCAGCATAAGCCCGTTGAAAATCAAAAGAAGTTTTGTCTTCAAAGAAAGAGGCTGAGTGTCTGGATCATTTGAGGAAAGGTAGGTGGACACGGCAGTGCCATCTTGCAAGATAAGAGACCCCTCGGGGCACGTGTAGCTGCCGCCAGTGCTCTGCAAGGCCGCCAAGTTCCCTGCTGCTTCCTTGGCAGAATGCGGATGGGAGGATGCACGTTGTCGGGAGGGGGGTTTGAGCTGATGTGGCTAAAGACCGGAGCTTCAACAGGAGATCCAGGGGCCCGTCAGGGAGCTCCTCCGAGGTCTCACCTCCAAGGTCTGGCATTTCCGATTTCACTTGGGCACGTGGCCTGGTGGATGGGTTTTCATTTTGATCTGACTGGTGGCCTGATTTCTTTCCAGCTGCCCGATGTCAGGGGGCGGGGCTGGGGCCGGCAGGGGCTGAGCGGGTCTCTCTGTGGCTGCAGTGACCTGGAGAAGTCGGTGGAGAAGATCCAGAGAGATGTCTCCCACAACCACCGGCTGGTGCCGGGCCCCGAGCTGGAGGAGAAGGCGCTGGTGCTGAAACAGCTCGGGGAGACACTGACCGAGCTCAAGGGTGAGCTGGGGGCCGGTGGATGTGGCACGTGGTCCAGGTGGGCGTCCCCGCTGCACCCCCCACTCCCTCCCCCGCACCCAGCACTGCCCTTTCTGCTGCCCATCCCCCCACTCCTCTGAGCCTCTCCCCCCTCAGCTCACTCCTCCCGTGCCCTCAGCTCACTTCCCAGGCCTACAGAGCAAGATGCGGGTCGTGCTGCGCGTGGAGGTGGAGGCCGTGAAGTTCCTGAAGGAGGAGCCCCAGCGCCTGGATGGGCTGCTCAAGCGCTGCCGCGGGGTCACAGACACGCTGGCCCAGATCCGAAGGTCATTCTGCCCCTGGCCTCTGACCTCTGACCTCCGATTTCCCACGGGGGCACACCCTGGGCCCAGATTGATAGATCAGCCTGACCCCTTATCCGGACTCCCCTTTTAAAGGTCATTGATGTCCAGCTGGAGCTATACCCCAACTCTGACCTGTTCGAGGCTTGTCTGTCCCTAACGCTGGGTGCAGTCACTCCTCCCCAGGCCCTTGCCTCTGTCCTGCAAGACCCCAGTCCCCTTCTTACACCCGCCTCCCTCAGGCCAGGCTTCCCTTCCGTGGGCCCGCCCCCCTGCTGGTCTCACAGCTGCTTCTAACTCTTCCGACCCAGGCAAGTGGACGAGGGTGTGTGGCCACCCCCCAACAACCTCCTGAGTCAGTCCCCGAAGAAGGTGACGGCCGAGACTGACTTCAACAAGAGCTTGGACTTTGAAATGCCACCCCCCAGCCCTCCGCTAAACCTCCATGAGCTGAGTGGGCCAGCTGAGGGAGCCCCTTCCACCCCCAAGGGGGGCAACCCCACCAAAGGCCTGGACGCTCTTGGCAAGAGAAGCGTGGACAAGGCTGTGTCTGTGGAGGTACTGGGCCCGGGGTAGGGGGTCAGCTGGGCTCACACATCTTCCCACCATCCTCGGCTGGAAGTGCCGATGTGGCCTGGGCAATTTCTCCTGGTGAAGGAGGAAGTCTGAGAAGCCTACTAGTCAGAAAAACATATTATAAAGCCATAATAGCTAAAGTGGTGTGGCGTTAGCATAAGAATGGACTGTGTGATCAATGAAACAAAAGAGAATGTCCCGAAACAGGTCTGAGTATGTCCAGAGAGTAGTCTATGAAGAAGGTAGCATTCCAGACTCATGGAGAAAGCTTGTAATATTCAAGGAGAAGTTCCCGGGTCTCCGGGGGGCTGGGCCAAATGTGGGGCTCCCTTTACCATTCCTTGCATGTGTGCCTAGGGGAAGGGGCTGAGGCCCCAAAAGCCCAAGAGCGGGCGGCCACTGTAGTCCTGACTCTTGCCCCCTCCTCTTAAGGCTGCTGAGCGGGACTGGGAGGAGAAGCGGGCGGCCCTGACCCAGTATAGCGCCAAGGACATCAATCGGCTGCTGGAGGAGACACAGGCGGAGCTGCTGAAGGCCATCCCTGACCTGGACTGTGCGAGCAAGGCCCACCCAGGCCCGGCCCCCACCCCTGACCACAAGCCCCCCAAGGTCCCCCACGGCCAGAAGGCAGCCCCCCGAACGGAGCCCAGTGGAAGGAGGGGCTCAGGTACGGGGGAACATAGGGGCGGGTGAGGAGCCCAGAGAAGGGAAGCCCCATCTTCAGAAGCTCTCAGGTTGATGGGAGAAGCACGGGGGAGTGAGAATCTTTGTGATCAGGCTGTTGGAGAAGGGAGGGGCTGGGACATCAGCAGCCTGACCCTCAGCCACTGAAGGGGGGCGCAGAGTCTGGGTTAGAGCTGGACCCGTCCAGGGCTTTCCCCATTGGCCTGAGTGCTGCTGAGGGGACCACGCAGGGAGGAGGAGCATGTGCCCTGAGCCAGGCTGGGCTGACATAGGGTGCATCGCTGACCCATATAGACATGGTTCCTGTGCTCCCGGCCCCCCACCCCCGCCTGTGAGCTCACAGGGGAGGCACAAATCTGAACCAGAAATGGCAATCATCACTCATTCGCTTATTCATTCCTGCCGCACACATACTTGTCGAGCACCTACTGTGCGCTAGGTGCTGGGAATAAGGACTAAGACACTGCTTGCTTCTAAGGAGCTTAAAATTTAGTGGAGGACTGATACTAACATAGATGTTTATCAGGCACCTACTATGTGACAAGAACCGCCCCAAACGCTTCCTATATATTAATTCTTATAATTTTGCAACGGCCCCAGGAGGCAGTTCCCGTGGTTATTTCCGTTGTACAGACGAGGGCACTAAGCCCAGTGTGGTCATGTCATCTGTCCCAGGCTGGTGTGTAGAGCAGGAGTAGGATGTGGGGCTAAATGCAGTGGTAGAGGTGAGCTCCGGTGTGGAGCAGTCCCAGAGGGGCCCTGGGAGGGCAGCAAGGGCTTCCCGTGGGAGGGCCCTTTCCATTGGAGCCTTGAAAACACGTAGGAGCTTCCCTGGCCAGTGAGCGCGGGCACGCTAGGGAGAGGGAACGGCGTGTGCACACGCCTGGAGGGTCCAGCGGGGTCCGGGCCTGGGAGTGGCAAGCTGAGGCTGAAAGGTTGGCACCTGCAGGGCTGCTGGGAGTGGGCGCTGGGATGTGGTTTTGGGTAATGGGGAGCCACGGAGGATCACAGGCAGAGGAGTGTCAGGTGTGAGTGACTCTCCTGCACGTGGCCCTGGAAACAGCCCCCCCCAGCAGAAAAATCGGGGAGAGCCTGGTGGGCAGGGGCAGGCTCTCGCAATAGGTATTGTTCTCTCTTGATGGAAAAGGACAGAGGTCCAGACCAGGGCAGGGGCTGAGGGGCAGGGGGGAAAGAGGTGAAGGACAACAGCATTTCTCAGACTCTGACGTGTACCTGAAATCGCCTGAGGATCTGCCAGAATCTGGCTTCCGGTCCAGCGGCTCTGGTGGGGCCTGAGCTTCTGCATTTCTGACAAGCTCCCGGGCGCTCCGCTGCTGCTGGTCCGTGCACCGCACTTGGAGTGTGGAGGGATGAGAGTGCAATTAGAGGAGGAGTGACGGGGCTTGGGGCTGGGTTGCAGGGGGAGGTAAGAGAGGAGGAAGGGTGGGGGGGGGCCTGTGTCCTGTGCCCTCCTCCTTGGAGGAGGAAGCAAGGTCTGGCCCCTTGGAGTCTGCGGTGGCACCGGTCCCCTGACCTCCGGCCCCTTGGCTGCCTGCAGATGAGCTGACGGTGCCCCGGTATCGCACGGAGAAGCCCTCCAAGTCACCACCGCCACCCCCTCCCCGCCGGAGCTTCCCGTCCTCCCACGGCCTGACCACCACCCGCACCGGAGAGGTTGTGGTCACCAGCAAGAAGGACTCGACTTTCATCAAGGTACCGCCCCACCTGGTCAGGGGGTGAGGGGTGGGGTTAGGGGGGTGCCTGAGGGGCCCTCCAGGGATCCTCCGGGCGGTCCCCTCTCAGAGGACGTGGCAGGAAAGAAGCTGGCCAGTGGGGACCCCGATTCTGGCTTGGGCTTCCCCATGGGAAGGGGCTGTCCTGGGAGGACGAGGAGCCAGGGCAGGTGGGAGATGGCCGAGAGCCCATGGAGCCTAGGGGGGAGCTGACGCGGGAGGCGGGGCACAGCCTGGCTTGACGGGGCCTGCGCCTTGCAGAAGGCCGAGTCCGAGGAGCTGGAGGTGCAAAAACCCCAAGTGAAGCTGCGCCGGACGGTGTCCGAGGTGGCCCGCCCGGCCTCCACCCCGCCCATCATGGCCTCTGCCATCAAGGACGAGGACGACGAGGACCGCATCATCGCGGAGCTGGAGGTGGGTCAGGGCTGCGGCTGGCCCCCGGTCCTCCGCCGGACCCGGCTCCCTTTCCCTGCCAAGCTGACCCCCTCACTTTCTTTCACAAGGAAAGGAAATGACACACAGTGCCCTCTCCCCTCCAGGAGACAGGACTGAAATTGGCCCTGACGTGGACACATCCATTGATTTTTAGAGAGAGTGAAATGATTTCAGAGAGAGGAAGGGAGAGGGAGAGAGAGTGAGAGAGAAACATCAATGATGAGAGAATCATTGATCAGCTGCCTCCTGCACGTCCTCTACTGGGCATGAGCCCCAAACCTGGGCTTGTGCCCTGACCAGGAATCGAACTGTGACCTCCTGGTTCATGGGTCAGTGCTCAACCACTGAGCCACACCGGCCAGGCGAGGTTTTTGATTTCAGTCTTTGTGAACCACCCCCAACTGCCCTGAGACCCCCCTGTGCTCTGAGACCCCCACCCTTGAATGTTCTTTGAACATTTAATACCCAAGTGCCTCCAACCCATCCCAAGTCACTCAGACTCCAATGCTCCCGGCCCCCTCTCTGAGTGGCCGCAGACCCTGGGCTCCCTGGGCTTCTGGAGACGAGACAAATGAGAGGGCAGAGTGGCCCGTGACGATTGTGAGGGGCCAAGGAGTGAAGCTGGGGTCCCAGTGCCAGCCCAGGCCCCCCTTCCCGTGGTGCCTGAGCCATAGACCAGCACCTCCATTGTCCTCCCCGTGCGTCTCCTCCAAACTGTCCCCCACTTTCTGCTCCCCAGGTGTTTGAGAGAAGCTCAGTGGCTTCCCTCCCCCCCACGCCCTGCCGCCAGCCGATCCCTACCTTGCTGCCCCCCCAGGACTCAGGGCCCCCCGGGGGCTCAGCCCCAGGCCCCACATGGAAGGTAACAGGCTGCCCCCACCTCTCACGGCGCTCTTTCTGCCTGTGCCTCCACAGCTTCTCTCTTCACCTGTCACGCTAACCTGCTAAGATGCCAGTCACATCCCTGGGTCCCCACCACCGCCACAGCCTCACCCACCTGGACCCACCCCCCCCCACAAGGACAGGTGCACAACCCTTCCTTCCATCCCTGGGACTCCAGCAGCCTGGCAGCCAGTAGCCCCTTGAGTCTGCTTTTTCTTTTCTTTTTTTAAAATATATTTTATTGATTTTTTACAGAGAGGAAGGGAGAGGGACAGAGAGTTAGAAACATTGATGAGAGAGAAACATCAATCAGCTGCCTCCTGCACACTCCCTACTGGGGATGTGCCCGCAACCAAGGTACATGCCTTTGGCCGGAATCGAACCTGGGACCTTGAGTCCGCAGGCCGACGCTCTATCCACTGAGCCAAACCGGTTAGGGCGGGTCTGCTTTTTCTTACAGGCTTCATTCGGGTCGGCCCATGGGGGTCTGAGTATTTTGTTCCAATCTGTGGCCCGAGTTTAGGTCTGGCCTGCAGCCTGGGTTTTGTCTCGGTCCAAGATGGGAGTTTGGACCTTGTTCACTAGGTGACTTTAAGTCCAACTCAAAATCTGACTTTGTCCTGAGCCCTTGTCTAAGTCTCTGCCATGCCCCCTACTCTGCTGCCTCCTGCCCCCCTACTCTGCTGCCTGTGCCAGGCGGGGGTTCATTTCTCCCACAAGAACCTGTGCCTTGCACTGGGGCCAGGACTCCCCAGGGGGAGCTCATTTCAGCCCCTCTCAGGCCCATGGCCCCATCTTGCCCTCTTGGTCAGGGAGCTTGGAATGGAAGAAACCCATGCCCTTCCTTGGCTGCTGGCTCCGTATCTTTCAGCGTTTGGGAAGTTCTCCTTTCTCTCTAACTTCAGTCCTTGCTGCTGTCCCCTGCACTTATTTCCTTTGTACTCGTTCTTGGGAACTTGGGGGTGGACTTGCTGACTGCCCCCCTGGGGGACTGTGCCTCGGGAGGGCAACCTGGACGGGTGGACTGGGAATCTCCCTCTGCTCAGTCACTCCATGCTGGGCGGGCAGCCTCCAGGGCACACAGGCTCACCTGCCTCGTCTGGTTCTCCTTGGCCCACCGCGGGCTCCATGCTGGCCACCACCTGATTTCTGGCCGGGCTCAAGGCCTGGTGGTGCTTTGTCTCCCTGGCCAGGGGGAGCAGACAGGCGCCAGATGGGGGGCAGTGCTGTCTGCTGGGTGCAGGGTGGACACAGAGCCGTCCGAGGAGCCATCTGGGGATGAGCATTATGGGAGGGCTTCCCCCAGAGGGCTGTGCCTGCGGCCCCCAGCCCCTGCCCCTTCTGGCTCAGAGCCAATCGGAAGGGGCCCAGTGGGCAAAGCCCCTCTGCGGGCCTTTGGGGACCTGGCTCACCCCCGCACCCTGAGGCACCATCGGGCAGTGGAGCCGGGCAGGCATGGGTCACCCTGTCTGCCTTCCTAGTCTGCACCCCCGTCTTCAGGTAAGCAGGTGGCAGGGCGGGTGGGAGGGAGGCTGGGGAACCTGCTGCCCCCGCCCCAAATGTTCCCTGTGGCTCCCTTTAGTGGAAAGAGCACTGGACTTGGAGCCAGACTACCTGGGTTCAAGTCCTGGCGCTGCCACTAACTAGCTGTGGGTAAATGACCTTGAGCGAGTCACATGACCCTCCCCACCCTTGGTGTCTACCTTGTGAAGAAGGTGAGAGCCATCTGGTGGGTTACAGTAGGGATGAAAGGTGAAGGCGTACGTGACAGAGCCTGGCCCAAAACTGGTGCTCCGAGTTAGACCAGGGCTCACTCCGTCTGGGGGGGTCTCTGTGGCCGCTCCAAAGCCAAGGCGAGGGATGTTCACACAGAAGCTTTGCCGGAGCCTGTGTGCACCAGAGGGACTTGGTCCAGCCGAGCTCCCCACTCGCCCCCCGACGTCCCCCGCCTTGTGAAGTTTTGAAAGTGGAGGGTGGAGGGACCAGGAGTTTCTGGCCTGTGATGAGGATGAGAGCCTAAGCCTCAGAGGCCAGAGGCCAACATCTGGTCTTCACCCTCACAGGCTGCTGGGCCGTCACTCAGTTCAGTCCAGCAAGCAGCTGTGTGCAGGGTGCCAGCTCGCTGACTCTCCGCCCGCCCCTCCTGTTGCTATCCCATTGCACAGGTGGGCACACTGAGGGGGGTGCCTGGGAGAGCTGCTCCCAGGACTCAGCATGGGCAAGGAGAAGGCAGCTTGTGTCTGTGCTTCTAGGTAAACTGACTTCTCTGCCCGCACGCGGGAGACTGGAGGGTGTGGTGGGAAGAGGCCTGATTCCTCGTCCCAGCTTTGCCTCTAATTGCTGAGTTCACTCAGGCCCCTCCCCTGCCTCAGTTTCCCCCACTATGGAAGAAAGGGGCTGGGCTCACCCATCGTCTAAACCCCACCCCCGCCCCCGTCCCAGCTCTGGTGGTTTAGTTTGCAGAGATCATATTCTCCCTCATCTTTCTTCTCCCCCCAGGCGGCCCCGGGTGCCAGGGCCTTGTGCATCCCCCGGATCATCTTGACGGAGTGCGCCCCCAACCCTCCCTCCCCACCAGAGGCCGGGCTGGAGGAGCCCGGGCCCAGAACGACCCCCACCCCCAGACCCCGGACCCTGGTTGGCAGTGGGAGGGCCCTGCCAGAGGTGGTGGCCGAGGCTTCCAGGACCAGCAGCAGCTGGGTGCCCGAAAAGCCAGGGACATCTCTGAAGGGACAGGGCTCAGGGGGCTACAGTCCGGAAGAGGGAGGAGCCAGGGTCCCCTGTTCTCGGGGACCAGTCCCAGACAGAACTCAAGAGCCCTCCACTGCTGAGACCAGAGAAGACCACCCAGAGGAGACCCCCAAGGACTCTGGACACGACGCCCCACCTGGCAGCGGGCAGTGTGAGGGCCAGCCTGGTGCTGGCCTCGGCGGCACAGTGAGGGGTGCCACCCCCCAGCGGATGGACAGCCTGGAAGAGACGCTGCGTGAGCTGGAAGCCACGCTGAGCCAGATGGGCACGGCCCCCTCCGAGAGGCCCCTTGGCAGCCTCCCACCCCTGCCCCCCAGGCCCAAGGTGGCTGCCTCCTCCCCTGTTCTCCCCTCCTGCCTTAATGCTCCAGTCTCTCCATCTTCAGAGCTGGAGGGAGGTGGGGGCTGCAGGAGCACCCAGACAGCCCCCGTCTCCCACTGGCCTTCTCTCAGCTCCTGCCACCCTCCTGGGAGCCTGGCGCCCGGCAGGGTTTGCAGGCTGAGCCCGAGGAGGCTGGGAAGCTGGCCTCCCCGGGACCAGCCCATCCAGGCCTGGCAGGGACCAGGGCCTCTCCTCTGCTCTGTATCTGGAAACTGACAAATAAAGTGTTCTCGCTCTCCCCCCCCCCGCCCCTCCCGTGTGACTCTCTCTGTCTCTGTCGTTCTCTGCCTGCGCCTCTGGACTCCCAGGACCCTTCCGGGCAGGTCTGGTACCTCCAGTGGTTCAGGGGGCTGGACTGGTCCATCTTAGGGAGACTGCACCCCCTCCTCCCATTGGGAGGAGATGTGGGCCTGGGGCTGCCAATCCTGCACTGTTTGCCATTATAAAGACCCCCCCACTCCCCCATCTCAGGCCTGCTCTCCTGGGCTCAGGATGACGCCCCTTGCTGGGAGTGGGGGTGCTACATTAGAAGTGGCTCCCCCAGGGGGTGCCAGCTGCCTCTGGGCTCTCCAAGGAAACCACCACCGAGTTCTCACTGGGGAGCTGAGTGGTCAGGAACCTAGAGGGTACCCCTGCCACATCTCAGGGAGGCCTTGCCCTGGCCTCAGAGAGTGGGCCTGAGCCCTGGGCAGGGGTGTGGAGCCTGGAGGGGTCTCCAGGACCCACTGAAGAGGTCCTAGCCCCAGAGACCCCGTCCCCCGGTGCCTGGGGCTCCTGTATGCCCCCCCCCAGCCCCCCAGCCTGACCCGGCTCTTCTTCCTGCAGAGCGGCGGAGGCAGCGTGCCGCCCATGAAGGTGGTGACTCCAGGGGCCTCTAGGCTGAAGGCAGCCCAGGGCCAGGCCGGCAGCCCCGACAAAGGCAAGCATGGCAAGCAGAGGGCCGAGTACATGAGGATCCAGGCCCAGCAGCAGGTAAGGCGGGCACCACGGGAGCAGGACCTCGGCCCATTAGTCCCCGCCCCGCCCCGCAGTGCTGTGTGCTGGCCACCCCCTGCCATTGTCCCCATGACCGCTTCCCACCCGATGCCCAGAGAGGGCCCCCCGCCAGGACCGCCCCAGCAGCCCCTTGAGCCATCTCCTCTCTCCTCTCCCTAATCCCAGGGCTCTGGATCTGGGTTAGGAGTTCGGCTCACAGCCAGGCCCCTCCCCGCACCAGCCCTCACACAGGGCCAGAGGGAGCCCTCTCCCCAGCTGCTTCCGCAGGAGGGGGAGCGAGTAGACTCCTGTCCGCACCAGCCCCAATGACGGGTCCTTCTAAGACAGGGCCTGCCCTGGGTGTGGGAGGGGGACCTAGATGCCCCTTCATCTCCTGCCACTCCCCTCTTCTCCACTGCCTTCCCGCCACCTGCTCTGTGGGACCCCACTCCCAAATCTCATTTCAGCCTCCCTCTTAGCTCCCAGGCCATCGCCCAGCTGAGGGAGAAGCCCGCTTGCACCTGCAGCTCAGTCTGGTGCTTGGGGTTCACTGTGTTCCCCTGGACGTCGGATGGGGGGGGGCGGAAGGAGAGAGACTTCACCCCCAGATGGGAAGGAGCGGCGGGGGTGTTTCACCCTCTTTCAGATTTGATTCGCAGCCGTGGGTACAGAGTTGACCTCACCGTGGGTGTTTCTGCCCTGTGGTCCCGGGTGCCCGGGTGGCTGGCCCAGAGGTGCAGGGTGGCCCCTGGGCCTAGATGTTGAGAGGCTGTTAGGGCACTTGTTTGGTTCCGTGACTATTTCTCAGCGGGTCCCGGATGCCAGGCCTGTTCTGGGCGTTGGGGTTGTGAAATGTCCAGATGCTGGGACATAAAGAAGGTTCTAGGCTCAGAGGCAGGAGGTTAGAAATGGGTGAGTCCAGCGCCTCCTTTACAGCTAAGGGGACAGCTCAGAGATGGAAAGGGACTTCCCAGGGGTGCAGAGCAGGTGGATCAGAGCCAGGACCGGCACCCAGGAATCCCAATGTCATTCCCACCTCACGGCCGGGACATGGGGGTTCTGAGATGGTGCAGTAGTGCCCGAGGTGGCACATAAATCAGAGACACAGCTGAGAAAAACCCCTTGGATTTGTGCTCAAGATCCAGGGATGGCGTGGCGGCCAGGTTCCCAGGGGTGCAAGGACCCCGGTCTTGGTGCCCCTGTGGACAGCCCCTCCTCTCCGAGGGCTGGGAGCTCTGTATCCTCTCAGATGGCTCAAATGGATGGACTGTAATGAAGGGACCACCCAGAGGGATGAGGGAAGGCACAGGGATGTTGAGGTACCCAGGGACTGGTGAAAGCAGAAAGCTGGACCGCCCTGGGGAGAGGGGAGGCAGAAGGCATAGAGTTTAGTGAGCCCAGTGAGACTGGACAGCAGGGCTGTAGTTAGGGAGGGCAGGGCTGCAACATGACCCCAAGGAGGGAGGTAGTGGAGAAGAAACATCACCCCTTCTCTCTCCATCCTGCCATAACCCAACCAGAAGCTAGTCAGCAAAGCGGGGGGTGGGGGGGCTGTGTCAGCCAACCAGGCAGGGCAGGACTTGGATTGGGGGGAGGATGGAGAGGCAGATAGAAAATACTAGTAGTCAGTACACCTTCCATGAACCTAGTTCATATATCATATTTAACCCTCATAACTTCATATCTTAAAACACATGTGCTCAATCTGCTTTGTCACTGTTAATCCCTGTAGGGTAGTGGTTCTCAACCTTCCTAATGCCGCGACCCTTTAATACAGTTCCTCATGTTGTGGTGACCCCCAACCATAAAATTATTTTTGTCGCTACTTCATAACTATAATTTTGCTACTGTTATGAATCGTAATGTAAATATCTGATCTGCAGGATGTATTTTCATTGTTACAAACTAAACATAATGAAAGCATAGTGGTTAATCACAAAAACAATATGTAAGTATATATGTGTTTTCCGATGGTCTTAGGCGATCCCTGTGAAAGGGTCGTTCGACCCCCAAAGGGGTCGCAACCCACAGGTTGAGAACCACTGCTGTAGGCATTCAGTAAATATTTGTCCGGTGGGTGAATGAATGAATGAATGAGTAGGCGGATGAATTTGCCGCGTATCAGGCCCAATCCAGGGGGCAATAGACAAAGCAGACTTGAAATGTTAAAATATTGTAATAATCACAGCTCCCACGTATTGCGTCCTTAGTACAGACACCGGCCTGGTGCTCTGTGTGGCATCGTCTCACCTGCTCTGATGCTGCAGGGACTGTTTCTCCTGCCAGGCAGGTGAGCACGTGAAAGCCCTGGGAGACCCTGCTTAGGGTCCCACGCGAGGCGGTGGCAGAGCGGGGACTGGGGCCCAGGTTTGCCTGTCTTCATGCTGGAGTCTCCTGCCTTGTCAGGGAGCAGGAGCTCTGGGTCGCAGGGAGCGTGGGTGAGATGGCACCAGTGACCTGGGTACTGTTGCCTGGAGCGCTGGGGAGCAGCTTTGGGCCTTGTGTATCCGTTGGAATGCTTTTAGCGGCAGGTCACAGAAACTCCAATTCTAAGTGGCTTACACAATGAGGAAGGTATTCGGTAGCAAGACAGAAGTCTGGAGGCAGGGAGGACCCAGGGCTGGGGAATTCAGCAGCTCAAGAAGGTCAGGAAACAGGTCTCTTTTCTATTTGGTGGAAGCTTTTTGATGACTGCTTCAATTTCTTCCATAGTTATTGGCCTGTTGAGATTTTTAGATTCTTCCTGATTGAGTTTTGGAATGTTGTATTTTTCTAGGAATTGGTCCATTTCCTCAAGGTTGTCTAGTTTGTTGGAGTAGAGCTGTCCAAAGTATTTTTTAACAATCATTTGTATTTCTGTGGGGTCTGTTGTTATTTCGCCTCTATCGTTTCTCATTTTGTTTATTTGGGTCCTCTCCCTTTGCTTCTTGGTGAGTCTGGCTAAAGGTTCATCAATCTTATTTATCTCTTCAAAGAACCAACTCAGTTTCATTGATCTTTTGTATCGTTTTTGAAGACTCTGTCGTTTATTTCCACTCTGACCTTTATTATTTCCTTCCCTCTGCTTACTCTGGGCTTTTCTTGTTGTTCTTTGTTTAGTTCTTTTAGGTGTAAGTTTAGATTGTTTGAGCTTTTTTTTTAATCTTTATTATCTCCTTCCTTCTGCTCACTCTGGGGTTTTCTTGTTGCTCTCTTTCTAATTCTTTGAGTTGTAGAGTTAGATGATTTACTACCATTTTTTCTTGTTTTTTGAGATAGGCCTGTAGAGCTATAAACTTCCCTCTCAGGACTGCTTTCATTGTGTCCCATAGGTTTCTTTTCTATTTGGGTCCTGTTGGCCCAGCATTCTGCCCTGCCCCCAGGGCTGCCTTCACTCCAGGGCCCTAGGACACAGATCTTCTCAGGGGCAGGAGAATCCCGGAAGCCCCCATCTGATCTCCCCTCTCACCTCATTGCCCTGCCTACATCCGCCACCAGCAAGGAGAAGGGATTGCTTGAGATTGCCATATGCTAGTATTCCTCAGGACCCACCCCCCGTGGGCTGCGAGAAGCCCTGTCTCTCCTGACAGCCCTGTGCCTGGTTCAGGCAAATAGGAAGGAAGAAGGGCTGGTGGGCAGCGGGTAGGTGGGCCTGCAGGTGGTCCTGGAGGACGGGCCAGCAGGGTCTGCTGCGCCAGGACGATCTACGCCCGTATGAGAATCTGCGCGTCATAGCGTGGAGGGACCGGTCAGCGTGCGAGGGCGGGGAGAGGCCGCTAGCCTGCGTCCCACAGGACGGGGAGGTGCAGGGTTCAGCCTCATGGTTCCGGCCTCCCCCAGCGGAGAGCCGAACACCTGACAAGCTCTGCTCCCCTGGGCATAATTGGGAGCACCAGGGACGGACCGGCTGGGGAAATGCAAGTGGCAGGAACCTTCAGAGGCAGCAACTGTGTCACCTGAGAATTCTGAGCAGTGCAGGGCGCAGAGTGAGGTCACGGGCACAGCTGGACATGCTCCCTCCGCTTCAGGAAGTGGGTTGTGGCTGTTGCTGCAGCCGGACAGTCTCCCGAGAGGGACTAGGGCCTGAGAGAGTTTGACCAGACAAAGGCTCACAGAGCAACTGTAAGCGGTCTCCGTGAAGGAGAGGTTGGCAGGGGGTGGGGGCATCCTATCCATGTGTCTGCCCGGCGGTGTGGGAGGTGGGTGGGGGGACATCACTTGGGTGAATGCAGGGCCAGGTAGAGGCCCAAGTGGGAAGGCAGGTGTTTTAAAGACCAAAGCTCAGAATAGACATAGATGGAGGCGTTTGACAAGTGCTAAAGGGGAGGAACAGAGAAAAGCTTTTAACTAGAGATGAATGGAGAACAAAGGGGACAGCCAGGAGGGAATCAAACAGCTGGCCCAGGACTTGGTGAGATGTGAAGAGATGCAGGGGACACGGGCGGGGAAGAACTTTAAATAGGAAAGGGGAGGGGATGGGGCCAGACAGGAGCCCAGGGTGAGTGACAGGGAGTAAGAGAGCTCTCGGTTGCCATCAAGGGGCTATGCCTGGCACCTGGCTCTTGGCAAAGGCCCGAGTGAACGGAAGGATCTGGTGCCTGGAACCCTTGGAGTAAGGAATGTGCGGCCACAGTAGAGGAGAGGGCGGGACACCCCAAGGGGGAACGTGCCTTGAGTGGGGGGCAATGTCGACTGCAGCCTGCAATATGGTGAGCAAACCCCAGATGAATCACGCACTCACTGGGGGTGGGCAGGAGGGAGACATGACCACCAGCAGCAAGGGCAGGCTCGCTGTTGGCGGTCAGGCTGCCTGCGATCGCATTTCCCTTCCAGGCTGCTGGGGGCTCGGTCTGGCTTTCCCGGGCAAGGCCTCTGGGAGAGCTGACCCGGCAGCTGGCTGCTAATGCAGGTCGTGGGAAACACACTGACCTGCACAGGCCTAACCGGCAGGAGGTCTCTGGCGATGGCCACGGCCGTTTCCAGTCCTCTTCCTCTCTGCCTTCTTTGTCGGTAAATGCACTGTCACACACTGGTAGCTGGGCAAGGCCAGAGGGACAGGAGAAAACCCGCCGCGTAGCCCTGACCCAGGGACCGCAGTCCAGTGCGCAGCAGGTTCGGCTGGGGCGCCTGCCCGATATGCAGGCCCCGGAGCCCACGCCGGAGGCGGATTCTGGAGCCGGCCCGGGACTCGGCATTTGCCCCACATCCTCTCCTGGAGGTGGAGGCGATGCAGGCGGCCCTGGAGCCATACAAACCTCCAGGACCCGTACAGCTGCAGGGGTTGCTGGAGGCGGGGAAGGGGTTGGGCTGTTTCTAACTATCAGAGCTGACTGGTGAGTGTGGGACATGATACCGGGGAGTGAGCGCCTCCCTCGCCAGGCCCAGCCCAAAGCCGGAGAAGCAGCTACACAGGAAGCAGGTGGGAGTGAGGCTCAGTGCCCTTCCTCCCGCGTGGGTGGGGGTGGGGGTGGGGAGGCTCTTTAGCGAAGTGTTTCCAGGGAGGACACGCTCCCCAGATGCCACCCTAAGACCTTCTGCTTAGAATCAGCCTCCCGCTGAGGTCGGCAGGGCCCCGGGCTGGGCTGCGGCCCTTTGGGACTACGCGCCCGCCGACTCCCTCCCTGCTCCCAGGGCATGCACCCCGTGGCCGCTAACGTGTCATTTCTCCTTCCTCCCTCCCCTGTCCTCTTCCCCGCCCCATCTCCCTCTCTGCTGGCCCTGGTGCCGTCTCCCTTGTGCTTCTCTGGTCTCTCTGTTCCACCTTCTCTCTTTCCTATCAGTAACCTTGGACCTGTGTTCCCACCCCAGTTCCCAGGCCCTTTGGTCCAACTCCGCGCCCCCTTCTGCCCTGCTCTGCGCCCCCTGCCCTGTCTCAAAGGGACCACTCTCTTCAGATGGTTTCTTCCTTCTGCAGTTACTTTTCTCTCGGACATGTGGAGGTTTTTTTTCCTATTTTAAAGCTTCAGCTGGGGGCCAGCATGAAGGCTCTCCCTTCCTCTCTCTGACCCCTGACCCCTGTTTGTGTTCCAGGCCACTAAACCATCTAAAGAGATGAGCGGGTCGAATGAGACCTCAAGCCCCGTCTCAGAAAAGCCCTCGGCCTCCAGAACCTCTATCCCCGTATTGACTTCGTTTGGGGCAAGGAATTCTTCCATCTCCTTTTAGAGGCCCCCTCGCACCCCCACCCGACTCCCCCGTCTCAGAAAAGCCCTCGGCCTCCAGAACCTCTATCCCCGTATTGACTTCGTTTGGGGCAAGGAATTCTTCCATCTCCTTTTAGAGGCCCCCTCGCACCCCCACCCCAGCCTGCCCCCCTCCCTGACCCTGACATTGATCTCCCTGCTCTTCCCTTCATCTCCCCCCATCCCCACTCCATCCTCAGACCCTGGGAAGGGTTGCCACAGGGGTGGCCCTCCTCGCGTCTCTCTCCCCACCCCCTGTTGGTGTTTTTGGTTGTTTTTTTTTTAAACGATTCACTTTGAATTATCGTTCTTTTTTTACAATAAAAAGCAAAACAGTAAAACTGAGAACCAAAACACACCACCTTCCTTTGACTTCCTGTTCTAAAATGGCCCACTTCCTATCATCTTCCCTCCCTTTTCTCTTTGTCCACTCCTCTGTCCAAGTCCATCCTGAAGTTCCTGTACCTTCCCTGTCCTTCCCCCCCGCCTCCCCCTCCCCCCAACTTCCTAAGAGCACTCCAAACAAGCTCTGAGCCACGGAGACTTGGAGCAGCAAGACACCGGCTCTTCCCGCCTCCGGAAGCTGGACATTGGACCAACCCGTGCCAGGCTGGGAAGTGGGATGCAGGCAGACCCTGGCCCTGGAGGCACCCCGCCTGTCCCAGCTCCGCACGGGACTGAACTCTGAACGCGGCTGTTTCTTTGCTCCCTGGTGGGCCTGGAGTCAAGATTTTGGGACTGGGGGGGGCCTCAGAGTTTGAGGGGCCTCAGGATGGGTGTGGGGTACGTGGGGCCGTTGAATCTGTGTCCTTGGAGACGACTTGGCTTCCTGGGACTCCCTTCCTGTGATGAGGGGCCACCAGGCCTGCGCCAAGGGGAGGAAGGGGCCCCTTCGGACGATTGGCTGCTGACCGTGCGGGGAGCAGACAGCCTGGCCCCGGGGACACTGCCTTGGGAGCGGGCAGCCCACGAGGGGTGTTTGGTACTTTTAGTTTCCTAATTTAGCACTTTAAATGACATTAACTTATTTCAGGGGGCGGGGTGGGCAGGAATGGAGGGCCTAGATGATTAGATGTTGAGGCCTGGAGGGTGGGAAGGGTCTGGTTGTGAGGGAAATGGGGGGAATACAGAGGAGGCTGACAGGAGCCGTGAGGATGGCTCTGACCCCAGGGGTAGGGGGACTTGACCTTCAACCATCCTCTTTGAGATCGGAGGGCTTTCAGGGAAGGGATACGACGTGGTCTTTCAATGGGGAGCCGGTGACCACTGGGGAGATCCTTGAGGGTCCCTGAGGCCAGGCCCCCACCTGCGGACACCCGCCTGGCTTTTGGCCAGGTCCTGAGAGGGGCGGAGGGAAACTAGTTTTGGTTCTCAGCCCTGGCCCCGCAGAGGGCAGAGTGAGGGGCCCACAGGGAGACTGTGTGGGTGGGGAAGGAGGAGGAGGATGGAGTGCAGCCCCAGGGAGCAGGGATACTGTTCGGAGCACAAAGTGGGGTACGCGCAGGGGAGGGAGGGCTGGGATGAGTCTCCCTGAGAGAAGCACAGAAAGAAGGAGCCACTGAAGGCAGCGCCTCTGGGCCCTGGGACCTGGTGGGAAGGTCCCCTCCCAGGGGAGCTGTTGAGGGTTGGGGAGGGAGGGAAAACTGGGTTGTGTTTCTTCATTTCTCTTTTTTTTTTGTTTTTTTGTTGATTCATTCTTGTTTTCTAGCTTTGGATCATTTTTGTACAAAGGCAAGTAAGCCTTTTTGAAAAAGAACAAAAGAAGAGGAAAAAAATCCCTCCTGAAAAAAAACAAAACCTGGAAAATAGAAAAAAAAAAAAAAAAAAGGACCTCATAAATGATGCAATTACTTTTAATTGCAGGCAACTCTTTACATTTAAGTGAAGTGTCTTAACATTTTATATTGTTTTAAAAATATATTTACATATTATATATATAATATACGTAATATAAATATATATAAATATTTAAAAAAGAAAAAAAAGAGAAAACCACGGCACTCTCCCTGGCCGCTGTTTTGGCGGGGGAGGGGGGCTGGAGGGTGGGCACGCGGCCTGGCTTCTGTGGTCCAGTAACATGGTGTGGTTTGACTTGGCTGTACAGAGACCCCTGACTTGGGAGGGGAGGGGGGAGTGGTGCCCCCTCCTCCCTCCGCTCCATGACTCTTCTCTTGCTACTTTTCACTTGCCCTCACCTCCCGCCCTCAGCCCGGTGACCTGAACGTGTGCCCCACCTTCATTGTCCTGAGTTGAATGTCCCTTTGTGGGGAGCGGGGGCGGGGGGACGTGTCCATCCCCCCGGGGGCAGAGGGAGGGAACCCTGGGCCCGCCCCACCTGCTCACGTGGAGCCCAGCGGGATTCGCATCTTTCTTTCACTTCGGCTCCTGCACATGACGGGCTGAGAGGCATTTGCGTGGAATTGTGCACAGCCTGCGTGTCCGTGTACACCGGCACAAATCCACTTCCCCGTGCGTGGTGGGGAGCGTGTGTGCACAGGGGTGAGTTACCGCCCCCGTCTGCGGGGAGGTGTGCGCACGTAGGTGCATGGAACCTGCTTGGGCATCAGCACCTGCCCACCTGCACGTCGGTGTGGAAGAGCTTTGCATATGAGAGCGCGTGTGATGTGTGTGTGCAGATGTGTGTAGCTGCAAGAGACTGTATGTGGGCCACATGTGTGGACAGAGGGGTGTTCATGGAGGTGCATGTTGACCTGTGTGGGAGTGTGCAAATGTGTGTGGACCCAGGCGTGCGGAAGTGCCCGTGTGACGAACTGTTCCATCATCCCTGCACCACTTGCTCTGGCCGCCCTCCAAGCCCCCATCCCCTGGGCCTCTCAAAGCCCACAGCACGTCAATGCCTCCCCCCTACCCTCCAGCTGCATGCGCCTCGCTGCTCTGTCCATCCGTGTGTGCTTGACCAAGAGAAAACTAAACCGCCTGGGGGGGCCCTTGTACCTGGTCCTCCCAGCCCCTGCCCACTGTGCTGTGATACTCACACGGGGGCTCTCTCTCCCGCCCCTTCCACAATATGCTGTTTCCCTAGGAGCCTCGGGCTCGGAGAGGGGTCCCAGGTGGGCCCCCCCGGGGCGAGCCCTGGCTCCACACCCTGCCCGGTCCACCCCGTAGGGCCCGTGTTGGTGTAGCAGTGATGGCTTCTGTGGATATTCTGTGACCTCTGTCAGTGTAACTTGACAATTTCTAAATGGAAAAGGGTTGCTGTGTTTTCTCTGTCTCTCTTTTTTAATGTCCTTTTTCTTCTCCCCACTTCCCTGCTCTCCTTTTTCGGTTTTCTAGCCGAGTGTTTGGGGCTTAAATAAAACTTGTTTCTTTTTCCTCTCCTGGATCTCCTTCCTATAGGCTGCTGTCTCATTATTTCTCAGCTTCACCCTGGAAGGTGCGGGGATGGGTGGGGCAGAGGAGGGGGGTCCCTGGGAGCCAACTGCCCCACAAGCAAGGCTCAGGGGAGGAGGGGCAGGAGCACCACAGGGGCTGCTGCTGCCCCCAAGGGCCCTGAGACCAACTCCGGGAGGCTGGAGAGGGACGTCTCTTGGCTAAGCTGCTTCACCACCATCGGTGAGGTCGCTGCTGGCGTTGCTGACTCCTGTGGGCGACAGAGCCAGAGATGTTGGATGTCTGTCTCAGCGTCACACAGCTAGTAAGGTGCACTGAGGATTAGAACCCAGCTCTGCCTGACCCAAACCCAATGCTTTCTCCCCCAAATGAAGTAGGGTCTGATTATCTCTATAGTCCCCATGTCTCATCTCAACGATCAGACATGTACACACACGCACCCACACAGTTAGTGAAACAGCACTTACATAAGACAGTGCACGCTGGTGTTTTCTGTTAAATTCTAAACATTTCCGTCACAACCCACTCAGTTGATTTCATGACCTTTCAATGGGTCAGAACCCACGGTTTGAAACACTGGCTGCTGGTCGCGTTTCAGCCCCCATCATGGTGCATTTCCGCCTTCTCCTCAAAGGCCTACTGGCTCCACTTCCCCCGTTCTCCTCGGAAATGGAAAGACCCCTGAGAGGAGATTTATTCTTGGTTCTGATTGGGTGGGGGCCCTGACCCTGACCCCGACCCTGTAGCCAGAGCTGCCGGAACCCTTCCAGGTTATCATAGCAGAGGCCAGCCTGCCCCCCGACTGAGCGGCCCCATGTCCTGGCTTTTAGGTTTGCCTGGAATCCTGAAGGCTGCACCACTGTCCCAGCACGTTCTAAGGTCCGCAGGCTGCCCGCTTAGGCATTCTCCTGGGCACTGAAGCCTGGGGTGTTACTGGGACTCCTCTACCCCGCACAGACCAGCCCTAGACTATGCCTCCTTTATTTAAACAGGACATGCGGCCTGCTGGCCTCGAGTTTGACATGCTTGCCCTAGACCTTAGAACCCTGACACTTGACCCCCTGACTGCTGACCTTTGCCCCCTGGCCCTTGACACCCGAATGATAAACCTTGACCCCTGACCTTTGACCTCTGAAATGTTGGCCCCCTGAACCCTGACCTTTGACCCTAAACCTTGACACTTGACCTAGACTCTTAACTACCCTAGCAAACCTAACCCTAACCCCAAACCCCTAGCACTAGCCCTAGTCTTTGACACCATGCACTTTGACTTCTGACCCTTAACCATTGATCTTTGACCCTTGACCACCCTGACCTTGACACCTGACCTTAGGTACTTGACACATTGACTTTTACTCTTGACCTTTGACCCTTGATCCCCAAACTTGACAACCCTAACCATAACCCTAGACCTCAGACCCTTGACTCCTGAACATTGACCTTTGACCCCTGACCCTTGACTTCAATGGTATTTAACCTCTGACCCTAACCTTGAGCCCTGGCCTTTGACCTCTGAAATTTGACCCCTGGCCCTAACCCTTGACCTAGACTCTTAACAAACTTAACCCTCAGCATAACCCTAGATATCAGACCCTCTGACCTCTGACCCTTGAACCCTGAACTTTTGACACTTGACCCCAGACCTTCAACCTTTGATCATGAAACTTTGACACATGACCTTTTACCCTAACTCTTGACACTTGACCCTTGAACTAGACCAGTGATGGCGAACCTTTTGAGCTTGGCGTGTCAGCATTTTGAAAAACCCTAACTTAACACTGGTGCCGTGTCACATATAGACATTTTTTGATATTTGCAACCATAGTAAAACAAAGACTTATATTTTTGATATTTTATATATTTAAATGCCATTTAACAAAAATCAACCAAAAAAATGAGTTCGCGTGTCACCCAGCCTGGAAGCTGGCAAGGAAAAGTGTAGAGCCACGACACAGAAGGAAAACATACCATGCTGTGAGTCTGCACATGTGAATAAGACAGTGGGCGGAACCCATAATGTCCTCTTGGAGTACTGTCAGGGCCTAGAGTGCCGATGACAGCTGGCTGGGATGGGCCCTGTCAGTGGCCTGCGCCTTGTCCAAGCCTCCTTCCTGTCTCCTTGGCCGTGAAAGGGGCAGGAATAGAAGACTGGGGAACCAGCTAGTATTGTAAGAAATATTAATCATGCTCTGTTAACCAGGATTGTTTTATTCTGATTAAAGAAGGCACGTTCTACCCTGGCTGGAGCTGACCTAGAGATGCAGCCCTTCCTCTCCATTTGGAGCTGCCTATTATCATGGAAAGATTAACAAAGATTTGTTATAGAAACCAAAATCGCCAGCCCTTTGAGGATTCCCAGCTCTTTTTGCAGACCCGCAGGCCTTTGCAGACCTCCAGCCTGCTTCCCTGTTAATTCTGGCACTCCCTTTAGCTATTTCCCCACTTAACCCCAGACCTTGCATATCACTAAGCCCTTTGGAGACCCCTAGTCCTTTTGCATATCTGTAAACTGCCCTTTTGCCTACTTTTCTTTGTACTTATAAGCAGCTGGCTTATGGTGGCTGCAGAGAGGTTTTTGTGGATAACCTGCTGCTCCCCCATACTGCGGCGATACTGGAATAAACGCTCATAATGATTCAACCCTGTCTCTGCTGAATTGGCTCAAGTAGTGACAGGCAGCACGGACCCATTGTTTGTCCGGTGATAGCAGCACCTCTGGACCATTCTGAAGGTCCAGGCAGACCTGAGAAGGAAAATACACCCGCTCTCTATTTCTACTGAGGCATGGAAACCTCTGTGCAATGAGCGTCACCTGCCCTTCCGTCCTGTATTCTGTGCCCAGGCCCCCACTCACTCTGGTCTCCCAGAACAAGACACCTACAAAATTACCAGGCGGAAGAGCTTTGCCTCCATTCTGCCACCCCCTGGTCCAGCCCCCCTAACCCTCACTCTTCCCCCACCTCCTCTGGCCCTCTCCTCCCTCCAGAACAAGTGAGACATCTGACTTGTGCCTCAAGGAAGGCCATTTATTTCCAAGATATAGACTATACTTTTAAGACAGAACTTTTCAGAAGCAGGAACTCTTAGTTGTTGCCTAGGTGGGTGTGTCGAAGACACAGTGAAAGGAGACATGCGGACGTGGGGCCGGAGGCTTAGCCAACACTGTTACAACACTTCTTTAAATGAGCAAAACATCTTTAAAAATCCTTATAAATTCTTTATAATATGTTACACATTTAGAGACAATATTTACAATAAAAGGGGGGAGGAAGGAGAGAGAAATCTACTTTACAGCGAATCTTTGCATAAACCAAGAGGACTGACAGACGTGGCAGTAGGGTTCACGCCCCACGGGCTTCCCTGGAATGAGTGAGGGCGTGTGTCGGGGGCCTGGTGAGTGTGTGTGGGGGCCTGGGGGTGGCGGGTCTATTTACAATGGGAGGGAGGAGGACAGGGGGCTGGGTCTCGCCCATCCTGAAGGACCAGCCCAGCTCAGACCCCATAAATCAGTGTGTGTGTGTGCGCGTGTGTGCGAGGGGGGAGGCGGGGGAGAGACGGTATGTTTTATTAACCCCCAAAGGGCAGAAGGTGGGGGTCTGTGTGCCTGAGTCGTGGAAGAAGCAGGCACAGCTGGAAGAACAAAGAGAGAGGCAAGGGAGGTCTAGTAGGGGAGGGACCCTGGACCCTCCCCAAACTGGGGAATGGACAGCTCCCCACGGTCAAAGGGTGGGGATGGGGAGGGGGGTGATTCAGAGTTTGCCAAAAGGTTGGTGGGGAGTATACCTGGTGAGAGTGAGTCCTGCTTCCGTGGAGTGGCCCCGCCCCCCTTCTCTGGCTCTGAAAAGCATCAGGGGGAAGGACCCCCGGGGGTACCAAGGGCAGGAGCCCTGCAGGGGGTGGGGAGACAGAGGAAGCAGGGGCGGCAGAAGTCGCTACTGGAAACACCTTTGGACAGTGACTACACACACGACACCCCTCCCACAGACACCAGCACCTTTACCCCCTCTCCCCACACCCCCCCCCACCCCCTTCGCTAGGAGCTAACGGGTGGGGGTGGGGCCAGAGGAGGGAAGGGAAGAACCAGCATCACCCAGTGTCTTTCCTTTAGTCTGAGACTCGGGGTTCCCTATCCACACCCCATGGCCAACAAGGGCCTTTAAGTGCAGGCACAGAGAGGCCCATACGGCACACCCTGCCATTTACCAGGGGACACGGCCCTGCAGCCTCTTCCT